GTCCTGGGTAATATGCTTTTCTAACTTCTCTGGGAACTGCTAGTAGAAAGCTGTCTTTTTAATAGCAGTTGCTCACCATATAAAGTGACAATGTGTATAATAGATACAAATAATGATGATGATGATAAATATACCCCAAAGAGAATATCAATATCTTTGAAATCACTGTTGGAAAATATCCTGTGTTCAGAAAGTTGTCAATATATGGACTTCTTCTTTCTCTGTCTCGGTCTATCTGTCTGCCTGTCTACACACAAATATATACATACCAAGCCACAAAGCAATACTTTATCTTCATTTTCTTTGCTACATAGCAATCCACTGGTTTGAGGCAAACTCTTCTAATTCCCATATGAAAAGGTATCAGATAACTTCGCAGGCTGCAGGACCCTATGTCAGAGGCCACGCTCTCTGTTTGAGAGCTCATGAATGGAACCGTTCTCTCTCAGAGTTTTCATTTCACAAATTCTTCTTTATATTCTCCAAGTCACATTTAACTTCACCAGATCTGCGCTTTTCATCGACATCTTCCTTTATAGAGACAAGGGAAGTAATTCCAAGGGGACGGGCAGATGATGATAATTAGTTTCCTTTCCTCATAATCCAATATATGGTGCCATGGAGACTTTAGCTTGGTGTACACCAAGACCTTCCCACACACTGTACCCAATAACACTTAGGATTGTGTGTAGTGTGCATGAACTGCTAGAGTGTGCACATAAATTCTGACCTCTAAGGGAAAGCACAGCCCTGAGCTGAGCAGAGAGGCGGTCACCCTCACATGGCTCAGGCAGCTTCTAGCCTTAGAGAGACAAATCAATTCTCTAAGAGGATTTCCAAGGACTGTGCTGATTATGCCTGTGATGACTTAGAGAGTCAACCTTTAAGATTCAATTTATCTCCAAATTCACTTGTTCTAACTGAACATCCTCTCATATTTTGTCCCTTCTTTCTGTTTTTGAAGCCATCATCCTAGGTCTCCTCATTCCTGCTCAGGACCATTTGATCACATAATGCCTTCCTATGTCTCTCCTTCTTCCCTAGCTTCTGCTGTGCATTCTCTGTGTGGACCTCAGTTACAGTTCTTCCAGACCAGATGGACCCAACCTTCCCATACTGAGAGTTTTTCCTGACTTCAAAATGCTGCAGGAAGGGGTTCCATGTCTTGAATAGCTCAGATGACCTTGACTTCCCCCAGTGTTTATTAGTACCTGGCTTTCTGCTTCAACCTCACTAGTATGGGAAGCAGTGTCTGATACCCAGATAAAATAAGTCGACCTAGCTAAACTCAATTTCAGATAACTACAGACATTTGGGTGATATAATAAAACATGATGTGTTGTTTGTGTGCAATTCAAATCCAGCTGGGTATCTTGTATTTGTATTTGTCACCTCTAGCCATCCTTCCATGCTCTTTTCTGCCTTTGCTTTCTCAGATCTTTCCCTCTGCCCGCACCTGTCTGTTCTGTATCTATGGAGACCCTGTAATTGCAATGCTGTCTTGTGCTGTGTTTCTCTCTGTGGTGCTTGTCATATTCACTAGTACAAAAACCATAAGGACACGAGTCTGGGTCTGATCCATTTGCGTGGCCTTGAGCCAGCAGATTTAGATTTCATCGATACGATTGGCAACTCTTTGGAACATGAAGATGAAACTGGGAACAAGCTAAACAAGGAACAGGATGCTATGGGCTCAGATGACTTCAGGCTCCTTGCATGGATCTGTGTCCTCATTTGCTCTGTTCATTCTTGGGCTGGCCTGCTGGCACTGTGTCCCCAGGAAGAGTCTCATTACCCTCCTTTTCCTCCCTAGGAAGAATGTCTTATCAATTCTCAGCAGTGTCTCCCATGAGCTCGTCCCACAGGGAAGAGACCATTAAATGTTCCAGTGCACATGACTATGTGCATATATGTATTATTGTGTATTCAACCACGTATGTGTGCATCATGGTCATTGCTTTGAAAGCCATTGTGTGATGATGCCTTTGTACCATGTACTTTCAATAAAGCAGATTCCTGCTTTTTAGCTTTCTATTTGATACTCCCAGTGTTTGAAGATGTTCAGTTGCTTCCTTGGAACAGGCAGGTGCAGCTGGGGACCCTTTTAGTGTGCTTGGAGGAGCTGTTCCTTCCTTCCGGTTGATCTTGAAAATGTGAGCTGTAATTTATCACACTGGCTTATTTTGATTGTAAAATCTTTGGAACATTCTTACATTTTTTGAAGGAACAGAAAAAATATCAATTTGTCCCCAACTATCAACTAGAAATAGTAATATCATTTCCATTCTGTTTCAGATACCTTTCTGCACATCACTGGGTTCATATTACATCTATACATTTCTCTCTGTTTGAAAAGCAATGCTATCCAGTCACATCTTTAAAAATATGAATGGCTATTCAACATATCACTAAATAAAAGTAAGAGTTTCCTAATTTCTTCTACTTCAAAAGCCCAACTTCAGTTCTTTCCCATTATAAACAGTAGAATGGTGACTATTTACACTCAGAGTGTGTTTATACCTTGGTGTTGTTTTTGTCATCTAGAACTTTAATCACTAATTCAAAACCTGGAAGTGCTTTAAGCAACCGAGTCCTGGTACTTGTCCCATTCCCATTTTCTCCAGGGATGGCTGAACATGTGTACTTAAGAAGCCCCTCAGTAGGACACTGTCACTTCATGAAAAGCTGGGAGATTGAGGGCAGCAGCTGGCAAATGCAGAATAATTTCCCATTGTATTTGTTTGCTTGTTATCTCTTTTGTTTCCAAAAATGCATTGTTCATGCTTGTCTGTGATGAAGCTTATTGAATAATTTGTAATTAAGCTGGGACCCAAAGATGAGATGAGCTTTTTCCTTTTGTTTGAGGCCAGGGAACATTGTGTGAAAGGATATCCTGATATTTCTTGCTGGTATACCTGTTATATCTTTGCATAGACAGGTAAGTGAGAGTAGAAGCCAGCCACTGCATACCTTCTGAAGCCAACTCTGTTTTTAGGCAAACCCTTGCTATTCTCCTCCCAGAAGCCACCATGCTTGTCCCTTTATACTGTCCTGGTTGATGTGGTTACTCCAGGTTATATACTCCCATCTGGAGCTATGGAGCTAGAAACCACAGAAAAATAAGACGATGCAGCATTTGTCTTTCTGAGTCTTTGTACCTCAGTCAACATGATCTTTTCTAGGTCTGTCCATTTACCTGAAAATTTTATGATCTCATTTTTTATAGCTGAATAGTATTCCATTGTGCATATACACAATACTTACCCATTGTGTATATGGGTAAGTATTAAGTTGTAACATTTAAGTTGTTCCCATTTCCCAAATGTTATGAATGAACATTGCTAAGCAACTATACACACAGAGAAGTGAAGCTATCAAGCTTCCCTTTACAGCAAATGAAGACCACCACAGAAGACCACAGCTGGGCAAAATGAAGAGATCAACATATGGGGAGCCCAGCCCCAAAACGTATACCTACAGCTCTTGCATCTGTGAATCATGGAACATCACAGATGTAGGGCAGAAAGATTGTAAGAGACAGAATACCAGGAAGTCTGCTGTGAAAGAGTTTGTTTTAGAAATGATTGTTTTGGCAAGAATGGAACAATGACAATATTAATGGACATATTGACCTGGAAGAGGGGTAGCCCAAACAAAGAACTACAAACAACAATGACTGCTAGGAGAAGGAGAATTAGCCTCCTCAAGAGATTAACCTTCTTATTATCCAATGAAAAGAGGTCAGCCTTGAAATTATATACACACAAACAACAAAAATGGATTCAGCAAGTTGTATTTATATATTATTTGTCATGCACATATCTATATTTATATCATATCTCTATCTGTACATATGTAATGAAAGTCAAACAAAAAGGAGCTATCAGCTTGAGAGGAAGGCTGGGAGGGGCTTGAGGCAGGATAGCTGGGAGGAGCTAGAGGAAAAAGGGGGTATTTTAATTCTATTTTAACTAAAACATTTTTAAAAATAAAAATATAGAAAATCTATACATGGTCATTTTTCTTTTTCTCTTTTAAAAACATTTATTAAATTTCTTCTACCAAGGGAAAAACAAACAAAACCACTCACCCTTTGACTCATTTACCATTAACTACTTCCTTTAAAGACCACCTTTCCAAAAACTCACACATCATGAAGGGCTAGGAATTAGGGTTTCAAAGAGGAATCTGGGGATAGAAGTAAACACAAAAGCAGGAACCAATACTAGACCTTGTTATAGCTCTTCACCGTCCTTTGAGGATATGACCAGCCTTTTGAACATTCTGGGTAGAATATGTATTTGCATGTCTTTCTTCTGCTGGATGGTCAAAGTACTAAAATCTCTTTCTGTGGGCCTTTTAATCCAAGTTACTGATACAGTTTAGGCTTTCAGGTAAGTTTCCCAAATCACACTTAGGTGAGAAGGAAATTTGGATGTGGGAATAATTAGAGACCCTTTCATCTCTTTCTGTGTGAAACACAGGCTAAACGTGCTGAGGTGAGTCTGGAGAATGTATTTAAAGAACGTGGATATGTTTTATATGGAATTGCTAGAATTACTAATTATATGTTTTTGTAGAAATTCTTTCTGAATAATTCTCTCCAGCACTGACTTCATGTTCCTGTTATCTAGTAACCCTTGCAAGCATTAAAGACAGGTAAAAAAAAAAAGAGGAATAGCATCACAGGTGCCAGAGGCTTTCCTGGTGGAGCACCCAGCATTTATTCGAGTTTACAGAGTGTATCTCTAGGTTACTTGAGGGAAGTAGATTTGAGGGAGGCTAGAAGATAGCTCCAGCTTGACCCAAGGTGGAATATTTAGGGTTCCCCTCAAAAGGGGACATGCTATGCTATTATTTGATTGGTTTATGTATGTGGTGCATATTGAAATTTATTAGTAGAGAATGACATTTCATTTGGATTAGTTAAGATTACGTACTCTAGAATTTTCATATACATGGAAAAACATTCTGATGTTAACTTTATCTTACTTTCTTAGGAACTTTTGGTTTAGGGAAACCATGGTATTTTCCCTTCACTGCATCCTATTGGAAAAGTGTGTGTGGTTTGATGGAGAAACAGCGATGCTCTCTGAGTTCTGGTCTATTCTTCTTCAATGAGGATTTTGGCAACAAAGGTGGGTAATGAGAAGCACCATTGAATGAATTTTTCTCTGGTCAGTTTTGATTTTTACTTCTATATAGGCATTTATTGTTTTGGATAGATTCCAAGGTTCCCCCATTTGTGTTGCTCTGGGCTCTGAAACAACCAGACAGCTAAGCTACAATGCTTTGGTAATGTCTGCATAAGCCCAGGAACCTGGGAATTGTCCCATCACCTGTTACTTATAGTGTTCCTCTCTGTGTATTGTTTATATTTGTACATATATTATAGTTTGCTACAATTAAAAATGAACAGGTATGATAAAACTAAAAGAAAAGGCAAGCAGCTGCCAAGTATAACCCTTAAACTTTTTCAAAATGATTTACATGTTCTAACTTCTGTGACACTTCTCATAAAACCAGGGACTTTTCTTATGACAGTAAATGTTCTTAAACATAGGAGAGCACCATTCATGTCAATCACTCTACATCATCATGACCTTTGCCTGTGGGCCAGGCACAAGAGCCACTCACAGGAAAGTCCCTGTGAATGGAGATGGGCCACCATGTACCAGCTAGATCCTGCCATGCTGGATTTGTATTCTCAGTGATATTGGAAAGTAATTTAAACTCTAATTAGTGAAGTAGATTATGGATGGGTTAGGAAATGCAGATTATACCCCACCATCCCCTATCTACTCTCATGCCAGGAGAAGATTTCCTGTGGACATTGATGTGTAAATAGCCTGTTTATTTCCCATGTCTACAGAGCCCTTGTGCACATCTATTTGTATTTCTTTACACAGTGGTTCTCCTATCATAAGAGATCAAAGCTTTGTTGTCAGTGGCTTCAGTACGGTTTTGCCATTACACATCTTGCTCATTGTTTTTGGTAATGAAGACTGTGGAAGTGCTTGGCGTGCCTCCCAGAGCCAGGATTCTGGTCCAAAGGAACAGATGATTGGATAGTGTTGGCATTGTTTTCCAGGCTGTTGGAACCTTTTCATGATGAATGTCCATTCCCTACACAGGCTTCTCACAACAAAATGGCCCAGGAGAGCTGGAAGGAGGTACCCCAGGAGTGGCTTTAATTTCTGTGACCAAGGAATATGAAGACCACAAGGTGGCTGTCCAAGAACTCACCCTCACCTTCCACAGAGACCAGATCACAGCCCTACTGGGAACCAATGGTGCAGGGAAAACAACCATCATGTGTGTCTCATTTTCTTTTCCTCTTCTCCATCCCTCTTTCCTTCTTCTCCTTCCATTTTTATTTTTCAATGTTGTTGTTTTGCCATGATCTCAATATAGAGCTTAGTGATTCAGAAGAAAGAACAAGCTCTGTCTCCAAAGACCCCCCCCCATCATAGTCCTCAATCATATTTTAGACCTGGAGTAGATTGCAAAAACTGGCGAGTTGGATGGATATTTTGCAATATGCCAAACTTCTTTTATTTTCTTAAATAATCCAGCATACTTTGCTTTAATCTCTTGAATTCCTTTGACACCTGCTAAAGTATAGTTTTATTTAAATAATTATAGAAAAAGAGCAGAGAACTCTTTAAAAACTTTAAGAATTTTTTGCTTTTCTTTTTTCATCTTCTTTTCCTTTGACTCTTTCTTGCTAAGTCCTGGATTTGGGTTTTGTATCTAAATTTGATTAAAGAATTAAAAAATTCAATCATGTAGCCCCAGAGTGGGGGAAATGAGTTCGAATATCTATAGCCTTGAGCTGGTTGTGGAACAGTGCCTTATTTAAGGCTAACTGCCAAAATTATGGACTATATCTTTGAGCAAATCACTTTTTATTCTTTTTCTCACCAAATATGCACAAGTCTAATGTATGGATTAGCAAAAATGATGAAAAGGAAGTATTGTCAACCTTAGTGAGGACAGCAGAAACCTAGTGTCTGTGGAGCTCTAGAAAGGTCTCCCTGGAGACAAATCAAAAGAAGAGCACAGGGTGTTTTTATTTGTACCTCACAAACTGAAATAGAACTAAGGGTTTCTCTTAGAACTTGAAAATTGGGAATGCATGAGTTATGGAAACAATAACTCAGCAAATGTTTGCTAAGGCATGTATCTTAACAGGGAAGCTTGGTGTACCTGTCTTGCCAAATTATGAGAATTAAATAAGAAGGTTCTAGATGCTTCAGTGCTCACTAACTATTTGGCTTTAGTGATATTTGGAGTACTTTTGGAATCATCTTAAGTGCTTGTCTCTTACTGCAGTGCTTGGAGCCTGAGAGCCACTTACTGAACTGGGTCTTTACCATTTAAACCAAAGGCCTCTGAGACTAATACAGAGCTGATAGAGTTGGATCTCTGTCCACAGAGTCCACTTCCATAGATTTGCCTAGCACAGATCAAAACTATCTGATGAATATTGTATCTGCCCTAAATATGTACAGATATTTTTCTTGTCATCATTCATTAAAAAATACTATATATAATTGCTCTAAAGTACAGGGAAAATTATAGATACTGCATGCATACTGACATTTTTTGTATATTAAACTGGAGTATCTAAATTTTGTTATAAGGGGCTATTGTGGAACCAACTCCCAAAGATACTTGAGGGATCATTACATTTATAACTTTATTGTATTTCCAAATAGGCTTGGAAATTCTTATAATAAAGATTTACTTATTGAATTTCTTAAGAGATGATTTTTGTAAGTCAATATAGTCTGTTTATGCATGTAGTTCAGTAAGGGCTGGTATATTTGTGTGATGTCAGAGCCAACACCACAGTGAAGACAGAACATTTATTTCCCTTTCCAAGATTTCCTGTGTCGTATTTTGGCCCTGGCCCCTGAATGGTCACTGACCTACTATTTTCTAATTTGTTTATTTATTCTAGAATTACATATAAATGGAATTGAGCCTACCTTCTTTCATTCACATTATTTGCCCAAGTGTGACACAACTGTAGATGTCTACAATCACACTTTATCCCCTGGGAGACAGAGCACATTCATGTGTCTACCTTTCATAGTTGGACAAACAAACATCCCGTGAATTCCTTATGTTTTAATTGACCATGTGGAAAATTGGTCACTAGAAAGTCTGAGTTCTTTGTAAGCTGCATACACCACCTGGGAACTTAGTGGCTCACTGATGTTTGTGCTGAATTTTTGTTCTCTACAGATCCATGTTGATGGGGCTCTATCCTCCTACTTCTGGAACCATCATCATAAATGGCAAGAACCTGCAGACAGATTTGTCCAAGGTCAGAGAGGAGCTGGGAGTATGTCCACAGCAGGATGTTCTCCTGGACAACCTCACTGTGAGGGAGCACCTAATGCTCTTTGCCTCCATAAAAGCACCTTGGTGGACCAAGCAGGAGCGACAGCAGCAAGTCAACAAGTTAGTAAACAGTTCTCTACTCCCCCTTCCTGCCTTTGCCTAGCTATGCAGGTGAAGAACATGGAGATATTTAATATTATCAATATCTATGTTTATGAGAAGAAAAATGGCAGATGGTTCTTATATATAGAAGAAGTACAGAGCCAACAACCTGGGAATCTTAGAGATTTTTCTGGAAAAGAACTAGATTTGATGGTTTGTTTTGGAAATGGAGAAAGAATTGAGGCAGCATGGAAAGAGTGGTTAGATAGGAGGTAGAAGCCTTGTGTATCTGGAATAAACAAAATACAAAGGGACACAAGGAAAAGGGCTGATGGACTCTTATTTGGCATGCTAAGAAACAACAAATTTATTAGGTATGTATGCATGAATGAGCTCAGGACTGTCATTGGTCTGACGTCTGCAAGGTAGATATATCCATGTCACAGCAGGTGCACCATCTTGGGAGAAACTGTAGACAGAGATGCAGCACCCTGCTCTTTGCCTCCCCGTTGATCCAAGTACAGGTGAAAGAAACACTAAAAATAACCTAGAATAACAGATACAAAGGCAGAAATCACATTACTCCAGTCTGATATAGCCTGGAGAAGAGTATAGGCTGCATCACAGGACTGCATCACGTGTCCACAAGATGATATGGACATGAGTTGAAAGGGGGAACACATAGTAAATTAAGGACAAGGCAGGTGGTGGGGTGGAGTGATGGAGAGGATTTGTTTTGCAGCAGTGAACAGGTGGGTGGGGGGCTGATGGAAAAGTAGGCCAGTGAGGGCTCCTGAGAACCTTGTAGTAGTGGAAGACATGCTGTCATCCCATTTGAAGTTATCTTCCAAGAGCAATATGGAGGCTGTCTCCATTTTGCAGACGTAGCAGTTGATCCTCAGAGAGATGCACAACTCATATAGGGATGTGCAGGTCTGCCCTAGGTGCACCTGGATGCTTTTATCTTGGGTTGCAGCATGTAGGAACAGAGAAAGTTCTGTTTATAGGATGACAAGACTGACTGGACAGGGGAGGAAGGGTTTTCCAGGACATTTTGGTGCCACTGTCTTGACCACAGCAACATAGCTCTGTGAACCTTATGATTGCCTGAGAAGTGAATATTATTTGTTACTAACTATGATCAATGGGTCTAACAAATATAGGCAGCAGTGGCTTTAAAATGTGGTCAAGGCATGTCCCCTAGCATCCTTTAGTAGAGAGCTTAAGGGGGTAAGGGAATCCTGGTTCCTTATGGAATCTTCAGAAGCATAGTTCTCCGAAGTCTTAACTGAGAAGACCATCTTCTGATGCAGAACTGTCTAGGTTTATACACAAGATTTTAGATTGATGGGGCAAAGCAGTCTTATGGGCTTTCTTTGTTAGGGATAAAATAAGAGAAGACCACACGCCCAGAATGGTCACATAGGTCTCAGGGGCCAGGATGGGAAAGCAGAGCATCAGGGGAAATCTCCATGTAGCTGTCCCTGACAGTCTCCTGGTGCCGAGTTTCAGGAGAAAGTGACAGCGTCCTTCAGGGGAATGCACTGTTGCACAAGTTTCCTTTGCTTAATCTCAGAAAAGATCAGCATTTTAGATCATTTCAACTTGAGATAGCTGCCTATGTTTAGACACCAACTATGACAAGGGCATATGTAAAACAAATCAAATGTCCCCTTGGGCAGATGCTCACTTGCTGAGGGTCAAATGCAAATTAAATTCAATGTCATGGAAAAGATCCTCATGGGACAGGAGTCCTTGTAGAAAGTGGCATATGGTACCACAAAGTTTGTTTAAATGCTTCCTTTTCCATTTGCTTCCCTCTCAAAATTCTTCCCATTGGCATGTTCTCTTCTGTAAAATGCTATTCTCTGATCACCTCATAATATCTTTTCTCAGTGAGCAATAGCAGAAATGATGTAAGTAACAATTACCTCTTGATTGTACAGAGAACATGCTTACTTTATACTACTTAAAACCATCTCAAACTTGAGGTAGTTCACAACATGAAATAGCTGTTTGTATGTATGAACTATATACTAGATAGCCAATTGGCTTCATACAACGTATTCCTTTTTACTATAAAGACATAGGTCACTTGTTTCAATTAATGTTTCTTTTGCATATTTTCACTTACAATGATGGGTTTCATTATGACATTTTCTGTTAGTACTCTTTTGCCCCCTAATGCACTAACTGCTTTGCTTTTATGCCAAGTATATTTGCTTATATGTTTAAATCTGGAGTCTACATACTTATTTATTTTGAAAATTTGTATCTATATTGGGTCATAGAAAATTCTACTGTGATAGTGACTAGGGGCTTAAATCAAACTCCTGACAATGCTACATAGATTTCATTTTCTTATTTTGATGCTAGGCAACCTTTAACAGTTATCAATTCACAGCATGTTACCTAGCAACAAAGCCAATTTACACAAAAGCAATCAGAATGAGATCATGTTTTAGGACAGTAGTTCTCAATTAGAGTGAGGGAGAACTGAAAACATCTGATTTGGAGCCACCCTACTTCTGATTAGTGTTCTGTAGCACAGCTTGTTTTCCTTAAGGTCTGAATTCATTAACACATGAGTTCAAAGAAGGTGGCAGATCTTGTGGAATCTATGGAGTGAGCACTTGTTGAGAGGCAGGTGATGATTGTTCTGCCCCTCCTTTGATCTAAGGAAGACAAGGGTAGCCAAGAGAGGACCATCTTCAGACCTGGAGTAATTGAAATACTGTTGTTATATCGCTACCATATATAATTCCAGTGAACATTATGGAACTCAAGATGGGGGCAGGTTATCTTGGTATAAAATGAGAGCAGTATGTGAAAGTAGAGCTGAGAGAGAATGGCAGATTGATCCAGGTCTACAGTAACCTGATGATGATGTGAGATGAGGAAGAACTGGCCAAATGAACATGGAGAGTGGACAGAGGAAGACTGGAGAATGAATCTGGCCCCTCAAAGAAAACAGAGGGATCAATGCCTCAATTCTGTACAGGGTTAAGTGAGATGAAGAGTTATAACTGGCCTTTGCTTTACTACACAGCCATTATTGCCCTTTAAAGGTGAAGTTTGGGGATAGAGGTCTTCTAGAACCATTTAAGGAGAGAAGGCAAGGAAATTTATCCTACATGAGAGCACAGACTAGAATGATGCCACACTGGGAAAATGACGTTATAGGATGATGTGAAGACAGGAATGGTAGAATCCTATCTGCCCACTGCTGATAGTGGTCTAGTAGAGAATGAAAGATTGGATGAGGTACAGAGGTGATTGCTTGATGGAACCTTGCTGGCTACAGGGCAGTGCAGGGCCCTTGTAAAGAAGCTTAAGGTCATCACTTCAGAAAGCACAGGTGGTGCAGCACACCAGGTAGTGGGAGGCAGGGCAGAGTGTCTGGAACCTTTATCCACTCTCAGCATTATTTTAGAATTAAGAATACATGAACTGTGAATTGTCTACCACAGCTGAAATCTCATATTTGGGAAGTGGAGGTTAGGATATCAGGAACTCAAAGTCATCCTATATTGTATGGGTTCAAGTTCAAGATCAGCCTGGGTTACATGAGAAGCTCTCTCTATGTATACATGTACACATAAAACACATATGGGTTTGAACAGAAGTTCCCTGCATAGGTGAATAATGATGCTTCTAAAAGTCATAAATTATTAAAGAAAAACTCCGAGTGCCAGGCAACACATTGGATACTAAATTCCAAAGAATCCCAAGACAGTAAACTGAGGAGTAGGACAGATTAAGAACACATCCAGGATTGGCATGTGACAGCAATATTGGTAGATGTGACAGTTCCTGGTGACCTGGACTTTAGGGTTAATTGGGAGGAATATGGTCTGAAGGTTGTGATGAGTCACTTGCTATATATCTAGACCTGGAGAGATAGAGGATTTATGATGGATACGATACCTGACTCAAGCCCATTTCCCCTCTCTTACCCAGGGTTCATTGTGTGGCCTCTCCTTTACTGCAAGAATGGGATTTGCTGCTGTTTCTTGCATATGTCATTCATTTCACCCCAAGTTCTGGCAACTGTTTTACAACTTTATTTGGAAAATACTGCTAAAACATTGCCACCTTGTCAAATCACCCTGTCCATCTGGTCGACCCCTTCTGCTACTTCCTTTAGAGTCAGAGGGCCTTCCTGCAGAACCAGAGACTTAGTTTCTTTGTACTTATTGTAATTCCTTATCTGACTTTTCCACCGGACTCTGATTTTCTTGAATTGAAGACAAAAATGTGATTTATTTCTCTGCCCCTAGAAAGTGACAGGTATCATGCATTGTAAGGGTTCAATAAACTTTTGCTGTATAAATAAATGGATGATTGAAGAGAAGTTTCCAAACATATTTTTTGGCACATGATTGGGACTTGATATGAGAAAAAAGTCTTTCTTCCTTTCTCTGCTGCTTAATGATATTCTTATTAGGGAGATTTGCTGTCCTTTTTATGAGAAATCAGAAATTTAGTTTAATCAGAAATTATCGTTTTCTTTTGATTTGCCAAACTTTGATAATTAGGGAAATACTAGCCCTTGAGTAATCTCGGACTTTTGTTTTGTTTTTGTTTTTCAAGACAGGGTTTCTCTGTGTAGCTTTGGAGCCTATCCTGGCACTCACTCTGGAGACCAGGCTGGCCTCGAACTCACAGAGATCCGCCTGCCTCTGCCTCCCGAGTAATCTGGGACTTTTAAAATCAAAGAAAAAACAAAACAGCAGACAATAACAGTTGGGCAACGTTTGCAAGTGGTTTACTTTTCTCTAATATTTATGTCTGATCTAAGCATGCAAGCATGCCCTAAAACCAGCAGGCTGGGAATGATCAGGTTTTGCCAAAGATTCATTTTCCAGCTCCAGAGAGTGGCTTTCATAATACCATACTCAGACAATATCCAAGAAACCAACAGTCCTAGCAATGTATCTTTAATCTGGAGAAGAGTCAAGTCCTTTGACTCCACTGACATTAGCTGGTATTATATTCATTTTTTAAATGCCAGGGGTACAGTCACCAACAGGACCCATGCACAAGTGGTTCTTGAGCATGAGATACATAGAAGAGACAAACAGGAAGCACTTTGGTATGTTAGACATATAATCAGAACAGGTTTGAAGCATTTGACAGTTTTTAAAGACTGATTTTCTTGTCTGTGTTCTTTGCTGACTCATTTGTCATTAATACACCCTCAAGTGAGCTGAATGGACTCAAGTCCTTCCCTGTGTTAGAATGGTCCATGTAGAAAGGTGTTGGTAGACCACAGAGTCCAGGCACTTGCTGAACCATTCTTTCTCCCCTTTCCTGGTGGGGTCTTCTGAACCATGCCTATACTGGAGAACAGGGGATGTCTCTGTTCTGAGATTAGGCTGAGATGTAGCAATAGGAAGTATACTCTGAACCTTGGGTTAAACACAAACTGCCTTGGTTCTTGGTTGAAAACTAGACAGAAACTGAATTGAGTTCTATCTATGTGTCAGGCAAAAACAGGCAGAAAAAATGAAACTGACAAGAAAATTTTCCTTATTCATTAGACAAGGAAGTCCTTGTCATTCCCTTGCTACTTTTCTAGGTATCTGGAAGCATTCCAGGAGCCAAGTGTTCTTGAAGCTCAGCTGTGCAGATCCCTTGCGATTCTCAGGCACCTGTCTAGCAGCCTTCTCCTTTGCTGCAGAGTGACATTTAAGTTGTAGGCTGTCAGAGTGCTAAGGAAGTGCCTTTGAAGCAAAGGTTCTGGAATGATGTGAAAAAAGAGGGTGAGCTCTTAGTAAGAAGAATATACACCACATTAAACGTCTTTTTGCTGACCAACTACTCCTGAGCATGGCGCCTGCCATGGAGCATGGCTGATGTACCCAGTGTTACTCCATAGGAGAGTGGATTTTTTCCCTCCTCCAGGAGCTATGAATTGCAAATAACTTCTTGGTTAGGAGTGGGGCTTTGTGTCTGCTTCCCTTTCTTCATGCTGAGATTTTGTCTGGGTTGAACTTGTGCATACTGACATAGCCTCTGTGAATTCATTCATGCATCAGCCCTGTTGTGTTGAGAAGGTATTGTTTCCTTGGAGTTGTCCCTCACATCTGGCTCTTCAAATCATTTTACTTCCTCTTTGCATAGAGCCCTGAGCTTGGAGGGAAGTGGTTTGACATCCCATGTAAGTTTGAGTGCTCCGAAGTCTCTTACTGACTGCACATTTTCTAGCACAAAATGGATTCCATGTTTTTAGGTGCTTTTTTTAAATTTTGTTTTGCTTTGTCTTTTTGATTTTTTATTTGATTGTTTATTTTGATTTTTTTTACAGAGGGGAAGAATATGAAGTTGGATGGGTAGGGAGGTAGAAAGGATCTGGGAGAAAATGGGAGAGGGAAAAGAATATGATCAAAATATATGAGAAATATTTTTTAAAAAACAATAAATATAAAAAGTTCTTGTTTTAGTTTTCTGAAATCTAGAACTCTCAAGATTGAAAGACTATTGGAGATTTACTCTAATATTAATGATAATTGGTGATTTCTATTTGGCAAAGGGCATCATTGCAAATTCCTGATTATGTAGTCAGTTTAAATGGGGTTATAAAATTTTCATGCACAGTGGGTCAGTGAGTTAAAGGACTCTAGTGAACCCTGGGGCTTTGCCTCTGCTTATGTCTTATTCTCCATATGCATTAGAAGAATTCAGGTTCCTTCTTTGTGGGAGGCCTGAATGAAAAGAAGAGAGAAGCTTCTCTAGACTGTTGACCAAAGTAGTTTCCACACAACTTTGAAGCTACCATGACTAGCATCACACTTGACCCAATGACATGGTATCAGATTTCCAGCTATAAGCCCAATGCTATTGTGCCTAGCATGCACCCTAGCATCCCTAATTATTGGCATATGAACCCTGAACATTTATAAAGACCTTAGGCACAGTAAGTCATTCTACATGACATGAAACCCAGAGCAAAGCTTTCAGGTGTTCAGGCAGAAGAATGAGTACTTCCTTGTTGTTCCAGAACTCTTGATGAAGTAGAGCTAACTCTGCATCAGCACAAGCCAGCTCGAGTTCTGTCTGGAGGCATGAAGAGGAAACTCTCCATTGGCATTGCTTTCATGGGCATGTCAAAGACAGTGGTTCTGGATGAGCCAAGCAGTGGGGTGGACCCTTGCTCCCGTCGCAGCCTCTGGGACATTCTACTCAAGTACCGGGAAGGTAGGTGGTGAACCTCATTCCACTTTCTCTCTCCACAATGCTGCACTTGAGAAAAGGTTGGTTATTGAATATATGAAGCAAGTCACATTACAATGAGGACACATGATTTTGTTCAGAAAAAGTAAGATATTCTAAAATTTTATGGGCTGTGTTTTTGCTAATATATGTATAATACTTAGACTATCAACTTTGTGTTTGATCTTTTAACCCAATATTAGCAATGACACAGTTAGTGAGATTATAGTTAAAGGTGATATCATTTGAAGCGGGTTTTGCCCAAATGACATTACATTTTAGAAGCATGAAAGATGAAAGGATGCAATTAGAGGTCATCAAAAACAAACTTTCCAGAGTTAGTCAGCTTTCTGCTGCTGTGGCAGATAATTAATTAACTTAGAAGAGAAAAAGACTGTTTGGGCTCATAATTTCAAAGATTCCAGAAGATGAGTGGTTAGTCCTCATTCTAGTTTGCTCTTTTGTTACCTGGATAAAATACTCTGACAAAAGGCAACCTGGGAAAGAAAAGGTTTATTTTATCATATGCTTCCAGGCCATATTCTGTCATTGAAGGAAGTTAGAATAGGAACTCGAGGCAGGAAGCTGGAAGCAGGAAATTGGAAGCAGGAAACTAGAGGCAGGAACCATGGACAGACATGATTTGCTGACTCACTCTCTGGGTCACTTCGGGTCTTGCTGTCTTATTCAGCTCAGGCACTCAAGCCCTCCTCCCCAGAGATGGTTCTGGTGCCCACAGTGGGCTGGACCCTCCCACATCAATCATCATTCAAAACACTTCCTCACTACCTTACCTGATGTGGGTGATCTCTGAATTGAGGGTTCTCCTCTGAAAAGTCTATAGGCCATTCAGGTTGACAATTAGTGCTAGTCACAGTAGTCCTTTTTCTTTGGACCTGCAGATGGTACAGTATATTATGGTAGATGGGGTAAGATGGCCACTTCATGATGGCACAGAAACAGATCCAGGAGGGACATGATCCAAGGGCCTAATTTCCTTCTAGCAAGCCTCATCTCATGAAGGTCCTACCACTTCCCATTAGCATATCAAGCTGGCAAATAGACTCTTAATATGTAGACCATGGAAGGTTTTCAGAATCAAAATGGTAGCACCTTGTATTATATGAGGAAGCTGAGGCATGGTGAGATGGACATGTGACAGTCTCACATCTCTAGAGAAAAGCTGGCTGGCAAGGAGGGAAATATATCTCTGCCTTAGAAGGTCCATATGTCTTTTGTAATATGCTCATTGACCATTGTAAGCACTGGATAAGCAACTGCTGCTTTTCAACTTCTGACTGTTTCCATACTCCAGACAGGTAGGAAGTATGCAAAAGGCACTTTACATAGAAAAGTTCATTGAACAGAACATGGGGAACAGTCAAGCACATCTCAGTGCTGATGAGAGACTATCAAAACATCTGAGGCTGGGCTGCACACAATCATAACACGATGTTTCCCCATTTCCTTTCCTAGCATATGATTTTACTTCTGCTTGATTTAAAATTCCAACATCCTTGGGGGTAGATCAGGATTTGCTGTAGAAGAAAACCAGGGGAAAAGAACAATCTAGAGCCTGCCTCTTTCTTCAGCAAATAGGCAACAATTCTGTTTCTTCTGTCCTGTAGCTCTGAGGAATTACAGAAGGAGAACACAGTTTGAGAAGCTGGGGAATGGGGCCAGCAGATACGGCTTTGCTGTCCCATATATTCTTGGTTTTGGTTGTGAAGCTTCATGGGAAGAATTTAGGTCCTGTCTGAGGAGCTGGCTTGGAAGTCAGGATGCTGAGTGTTCCTGAGAATCAGGAACTGGTGTTTTCACTCTTGCTAGATCCACAGCTGCAACACTAAGAGGAAACCAGAGTTGTGAGAGATTGCTGCCCTTGGAGCTGTCTTGCTGGAGGCCAGAGCAGGTTTCAGGATCTGCAGCTAGAATGTCTCAGAAAAGCAGGAACAATGGAATATGAAACACTTTGGTTTGACTCCTTCAGGGAGTCACTACCCAAGCTACAACTGCAGGGGGTGAGAGGACAGTGACTGTCTCAGTCACCACACACAGACCAAAAGAGGTTAGATTCTCTTCCCCCCACTTGTAACTTCCTTCAGTCTCTTTGTTCCATTTACTTGCATGCCATTTGTGAGAACAGAAGAAGGGCCAGGATTGAGAAAATGGGAAGCTCGGATGGAAAACACTCATGGCACTGATTAAAATTAGACATTGGAATCCTGACTTTCCTGCCACTTTCAATGGGACTGATAAGGAAGATGGATGAGGGTTAGATGAATGGATTATAATTCCCCTGCTCTTGTGAATTGTACAAATTAAACAGTACAAAACCACCACTATTGTTTAAGAATCAGAGATAGAGTTGTTCTATGGGACCTCCTGTAGAAGCCCTAGCATAGGTATTTATCCCTAGCATAGGTGTGGACTTTGGGAGCCCAGTCCATATAGAGGAATATTCCTTGAGCCAAGACACACAGGGGTGGGCCTAGGCCCTATCCCAAAGGAAACAAAAGACTCTGATGACACCCTATGGAAGGCCTCACCATCCAGGGAGAACAGAGAAGATATGTGACAGATAAGGTTTTGGGGGGGAGGCGGGTAGGGGAGGATGGGTGGAAGAAGGGAAATGGGATTGTCATGTAAAATAATCCTGCTCCTAATTCAAATAAAAAACGTTGGAAAAATATTAATTATATTTTAATGATCCATACTTTTTCATTAAAATAGTTTTTGAAAAATTATTACATATATATAATGTATTTTGAACATAGCCATCCCTCACTGCCTCCCTCAAACTCTCCCTGCCCCATTGACACAATACACTTCCAATTTTATGCTTTTTAAAATAGCTCACTGACCCCTTTACCCCTCCTCTTCTCCCCTTCTCATTCTCCTAGTTCCTTCCCCATCCCCATGCTCCCAATTTGCTCAGGAGATCTTGTCACTTTCCCCTTCTCCAGGGGACCATGTATGTCTCTCTTAGGGTCCTTCTTGTTTACTAGCTTCTCTAGCAGTGTGGGTTGTAGGCTGGTAATCCTTTACTCTATGTCTAAAATCCACATATGAGTGAGTATACACCATGTTTGTCTTTTTGTGACTGGGTTACCTGTCTCAGAATGGTTTGTTCTAGTTCCATCCATTTGCCTGCGAATTTCATGATTCCATTATCCCCACTGTGTAAATGTGCCACGTTTTCTCTATCCATTCTTCAGTTGAGGGGCATCTAGATTGCTTTCAGGTTCTGGCTATTACAAATAATGCTGCCATGAACAT